ATAATTTGCACGCGCACGTAGATCATGTCTGTCTCTCGGCCTTTGGTGCAGCCGCGCCAAGTTTTTTAACATTAAATATTTTTAGTTTTTAAAAATTTTTTGTAGTATATAATTTTTAGTTTTTAAAAATTTGTTGTAGTAAATGAGAGTTCCGAGTTTGAATCCGCACTGTCGGATTTGTCCGATATCTTTCAAGTTGAATGTATCGATTCAAAAGCGAATTGTAAATCAGGCCTCCAATCAGTTTAAATGGATTGTGGATGTAGAGGTGATAGTTAAAAATATGTAATACATATTGTAATTTCCATGAAGAGAATGATATAAACTTTTTTATTAAATAATTGTATTAAACAACTCGATGTAAATGTTTTATGTAATTCTATTGAAGTCCCTTTCTTATATAATATTAGCCGTTTAAGCTTATATTATATATAGATTGGCGATACAGATATGCGTAAAACGTAAGATCCATATTCACAGTCGGGATTGTACCGGAGAATTGGTTACAGCTGTGCTTAAGCTTTCATATTGAGATAACATTATGCGTACACTGTGTAGCGTCTATTGCAGTGAAAAGCAATGTAATTGCTTTTCACTTCAATTAGTCGAAGCTAAACATCACACGTATTATATATTATCTCAGTATGAAAGCTGAAGCATAGCTGTAACAGATTCTCCGGTAGAATTCCGACTGTAAATACGGATCTTAAGTTTTACATATTTGTCGCCAATTTGTCGACGCTTCTGGAGACATATCTGGTCTGCGTTTGGTCGCAATCTGTCAACGTTTCTAGCGACAGATCTGATCTGCGTTTGATAACAATCTGTCGACGTTTCTGGAGATAGATCTGGTAAGCTTTTGGTTGCAATCTGTCAACACTTCTTGTGACAGATCTGATCTGCGTTTGATAACAGTCTGTCGACGCTTCTGGAGACACATCTGATCGGAATTTGGCAGTAATCTGTCAGCACTTCTGAAAATAGATTTGATTTGCGTTTGGTAGCAATCTGTCGACGTTTCTGACGACAAATTTGGTCTGTATTTGCTACTGTTTTGTTAACAGTGTTGGTAACAGATATGATGAGTATTTGGCGCGATTTTGGCGCCAACAAACGATCACCAAATCTGTTCTGGATTTGGTGCGTCACTTTGGCTTTGCTTTGCTAGTGGCAGACTTGTTATGATTTTGGTCTCATTTTGATATCTTATATGTTTGACGGATATGGTCGCCAAACCATATCCTAATGAGGACACAGATGGATATGGATTTGGTCTACTAATTTCGCCGGCGGTTGGCGACAAAACTGCGACATCTCGCAACCAAATTGTTTGCTGGGTATTTGTATAGATCGTTTTAGACTAGAGAAAATACCAAAATGTATATAGTGACCACTACCCAAAGATTTAATATTTGCAGATGCATTTCGTGGCGTTTTAAGTAATATCCTCACGTCTTTAGGCAAATCTGCATGGCCATGTTTCCTTAATATANCAAGTAACTTGTTAACAGTATTATGTACAATATTTTGTTCTATGATTAATTTTTGTAAATCTTCTCGTAAACTCATCTTATTGCTACAATCATCACTTATATCAGAAGNATAATCTTCATTATGTTCCTCATTATTTTCTTCATCAGAAAATGATTCTACACTTGAATCTATACTCTTTTCATTAACATCTTCAGACAAAATAGTATCATCGACATTTGTATCATTGACATTAAGATCATCGACATTTGTATCGTTAACATTTGTATCATCAACATTTGTAAAACTGTTACTATTATTTTCTATTATATTAGATGCTATATTCAAATTGGTTGAATGAGAAAGCTTAAAATGTTTATAATAATTCAATGTGCGAGTAATTATTTGATTCTTTCGCCTTTTTGACAAATATTGCAATTTCTTTGGCATGGCAGCGTAGTAAGCTTTAAAATGATTTTTTACATATATAAAATATAATATATATAATATATCTATAATATAAAATATACAATATATTCACACTTGTAATATTATACTTCATAGTATATAGTTACAATAGCTTCAAAGATAACAAAATATNAACGTTATTTAGTCAAAGACTAAGGACCTATCCAGACAAACTTAATATGCATAATTGCATAAACACATGCATAAAGAATTGATTGGTTCATAAGCAAATGCATAAGGAAATGGATCAATCAATTTCGTTACATGTATACGTTTATGNGACTATGCAAGTTTATCTGGAGAAATGCCAAAGATTAGAATGCACGGGAATTATGTCACAAATAAGTTCAAAGTATAAATAATGATTACAAATACTATTAAATTTGGATAGTTTTTGAAGAAAAAGTGTAATTACGTTATCGTTTCAGTTACTAAATAAAAAAGTAATGCCATCATTATCAGTATGGTAATAAAAAAATGATATGATATCAGTATTACAAATAACATTTCCCAATTCTAGTATATCTATATATACAGTTATGTCTATGTATTATATAAATGACGCATTTTAACATACCCAATTGCAATGAGTTTTAATAATCCACGTATGTAAATAATCCGTTTTGCTGCGATAATTTCTACAACAAAAAGCAAGTTAGTTAACAAAACTAGCCTACTACTTCTCCACTTAGGATAAAAATATTCAATTTTATTTCAACCTTACCCTAACCTAATCGTAATGCGCTCTTTCTTTTGATATATTTAATAAATTTTTGTTGCTCGAAAGAAATTACTGCAACATAATAAAAATTATAATTATTTGTAATAGTTTGGTTACACATTAAACATAAACTTCAATTAAAATTAATAAGAATTACCTCGCATTGCCATATCGCCATGTTGCTGGGAATGCTTGGATGGAATAGTAGAATTGTATGTTCACATCATGTCAAAATTTTGCAGAGTTGGCGCCGAGTTTTAAGGACAAGAGGGGCGTTTTTCCTGGAAATAAATAGCATTAACGAACGAACCAATTAACTGTAGCAATTGCTTGTCCATAATTGTATCAATTAACTAACTACTTACTGTTAGGAAAACCGCTGCTTTTGTTCTTAGACCTTCGCGAGTCCTTTGCAAATTCTTGACGCGCTGTGTTCATAAAATCATCACAAGTCTGTTCTTTTTCATTACATTTTCTACACTAGTTTGTACTACAGATATCACACTTTTTTTCACTTATATATATTTCCACAACTATACATACTTTTTTCTTTTTAAATAAGATTTTTAAATTCTGTTCATCAATAAATTCATATCTATATAAATTTTGTCACATTACAGTAACGCAGACGTAAAACTTGTCGTATATAACATGTTACATTACATTTACATTATTGTTGCCAGTAAGTAACGGACTATATAATTATTTCATTACAAAGTTATATTGCATAAACAAGAGAAAATTATATAATCAAGTATAACAACTGTTATATTATGTGTTACTCTCATGTTATATAGCAGTTATATTTTGTGTTTGCTGGGATATATAATTATTTTATTACAGAGTTATATTGCATGAATAAGAGAAAATTATATAATCCCAATATAAATCAAGTATAACAAATGTTATATTATTTGTTACTCCCCTGTTATATAGCAGTTATATTTTGTGTTTGCTGGGATACATTAAGGTGTATGTAGCGCATTATGATTAGACATGCTTTTAATGAAATATTGTCTATTCTTATATTGTATTGATTGACAGTTTTGGTGCATGCATTTATTTCCTGTATGTTGTGTTATGTTACAGTACATTTTGTCACAAGCAACACATAGAAAGGACAGATATATTACACAATATACCACAGTATAGGTGGATGGTATATTGTGATTAAGTCATTGCAGAAAAATCATTGTGGAAATCTGGCATCGCAGTAAAACATATGTGAATAGCACATTGCAATTAGGTACGTTAAAATGGATTATAATTATATAAATAACATATATAGACATAACTATATGTATATTGTGACGTGATACTTTTTGTGTCCGTCACAAGAACATAATTTCGGCCGGCACAAGAGGCGGTGAGCTCGCGTCTTTCATTATTTGAGGGAGAGCAGCTTGTTAGGCCGCGTAGCGCAGGCGAATGCGCTTAATTTTGCGAAGGCGCGGGGCGCCTATGTTATATTGAACGAATAATTGACGTACTAAGATGTATATTAATTTGTTATTTATGTTCTTTTCAGCCTATCTTTGATTGTTTAATTGCGTCTCCGTCAGTATTTTTGTGCCGTGCGAGCCGCTTGGCGGCTACTTGGTCGTTTATTTCAACGCTAAGAGAGAGAGAGAGAGAGAGAGAGCAGCTCACGGTGCGTAATGTCGGACAAGGTGGAGCAAACAGAAGCGACGATAGAGACAGACAACGGCGCAGGGCCGTAGGGACGTTACAGGTGCGAGGCGCTCAGCAAGGATGTAGGCAACGGAATAGAAAAACGGGAGATGCACTCCGACTCCACGAAAACCGGAGCGGAGCTCCCTTTGGAGTTCTTGGCCTCGTGATGCGGAGGAGATGAGCCGAAGTAAGCTCATCTGCGTGAAAATTAACGCAGAACGGGCCGGTTACGGCCAACGAAGGGCCCGAGCCGATGTGTTGCCGAGACGCACGTGGCCGCTGTCAATCACAGCGCCGCGAGAATAAGAATACAATTGGCTCGTTACCTGGCGCGGCGAACAGCGCGAGACGAGAGTAATTGCCGCAAGAATCAGCTTCATTGTTGTGCGTGACGTGAGTTCCTCGTTTCCTAAAACGAGTGTTGACTCACCGTTTCACAACGTTTCTAAGAAGCAGAGGGCTGAGTTCAACAAAGGCAGAACCTTGCATCTTTAAGACACAAGATTATTCTCTAATCTTGGCAATCTACGTGGACGATGGATTAGTGATAGGACGAAATCAAAAGGTTATAGAAAAACTATTAAGTGACCTCGGTAAGGAATTTCATGACTACTTGTACCTGTGTAAAGTCTTTCTTAGGTTTAGAAATTAATCGCGAACAAGGTCGTCTTACATGAAAGCAGATAGAATATGCTATTAAAATAGTCGAAAAGTATAATATGAAAAATTCTAAACTTGTTAAAACTCCCATGTTGACTAATGACACGAGAAAGGAAGTCACTAACAAATCTTTTCCATAACGTGAAAGCGTTGGTAGTATATTCTATTTAGCAAATAAAACTAGACCAGATCTAGCTTATGCAGTAAGATATGCGAGTAGACATTTAAATGAACCGACTCTACAAGATATTTCAAATGAAAAAAGAATCTTAAGATACATTAATGCGACAAAGAATTTAGGCATAAGTTATTACGAATATAATAACACAGACGTTGGTGAATTAATTGGCTATGTTGATTCAGATTATGCAGGAGATATTTAAACTCGTAAAAGTACAACTGGTTATGTGATTATGTATTCAGGCGGTCCTATAAGCTAGTGTTCAAAGAAACAACCAGTAATTACTTTATTTAGTACAGAAGCTGAATATGTTGCAGCTACTGAATGCTGTAAAGAAATTCTATATCTTAAATTTTTACTTGAAGAGTTAATAGGCAAAACAGTCAAAGCTACTCTTAACATTGACAATCAAAGTACTATATGCTAAAAACTAGAATAAGTAATAAAAGAAGCAAACATATAGATGTTAGATACAGATTCATAAATGAAAAAGTAATTACTGGTTTATTGAATCTTAAGTATTGTTCTACTGACACACAATTAGCTGATATCTTTACCAAACCTTTAGGACAAAACAGATTCGACATACACAAAAGTAATTTAGTCAATGACTAACACGTTTAGTTCTAAGAATATTGTAATTTTTTAGTCTAGATTTAACAATTAAGGGAAGGTGTTGGAAATAATTGGTAAATGAAATCGTCCATTTTCGTAATTGCTCCAGTGTCATTTTGAAAAATTACTAAGACATCACGATTTTTACATGCACTATTATACGGTTTGTCAATACGCTTAAACTCTCTTCCTCCTAATATTAAATTTTTATTTAAAAATACAAAATTATTCCTTGTAAGGAAATTTATACTTAGAATACCTTCGTACTTAACCGGTAAACTATCATCTAATACATAAAATGTATGTTCTTTGTTAAACATTTTAACTTTTACTCCATATTTGGTTTTTAAAGAATGCGTAGTTACGCTGGTTATTACGATAGGATCTATCTTGGGTAAATTTTTATTTTCTATGTATGATTCGCGTATCAATGATAAATCAGAGCCAGTGTCTATTAAGAAACTTATCTTTTTGAAGCCCGGGATTCTCAATCCAACTCGTGGTGCTCTGATGTATGTTCCGTCTGGTCCCTGTCGAAGCTCGTCCTGCTGGTTGATTGAGTCTTGTTCTGCTCGATTGCAAGTGAACGACGCGATGGTAGGCTCGGAGGTTGACTGCTGTCTGGTCGTTCGCGAAAATTTCTTTGCTGGTTCCGCTGCTGGTGGAATATGCTTGGTTCTGCATTCTTTTTCCTCGTATCTTCTGCAATAACTGCACTTCTTTCTTTGGAACTGCGATTTTTGCAGCACCGGTCTCTTGTAATTTTCACTGCGTTGCGTCCTCATTTCTCTGAGTTGTAGCTCTCCTTCGAACATACGAGCTTTCTCGAATGTCAAGTTTAATGTGTCGAGGTTGTCGAAGGAATAAAGATGGTCGCTAATTTCTGTCTTTACATTTCGCCGGAAAACCTCGATTGCCTTTTGCTGGTAAATTTCTTTTTGGATAAGGATTTTTGTGTAACTTGTGTTTTGTGAGTTGATCACTGCGATGATTTCATCCTGTATTCGTGAGAAGCGAGTCATGAAGTCATCGACGTTTTCGTTGATTTTTTGAAAGCACGTGTCCCGCTGAACCTCTAAGACTGAGAGATTCTGAGCTTTTCCATACAGAAATCTTAACTTTTCAAATAATTGCGAAAATGCTTGGACGCCGTCTAGTCTTATGGTGCCCTTTGTCCTGCCTGTTAATTTTTGCGCGATGATACTAATCAATAATAGTTCATGCTGATCATTTGCTAATCGTTTCACGGCGGCCTTGATATGTTCTATGAATGGTTTTACGTTGGATCCGTCGAATTCCGATATCAGATGCAGTGCTAATTTATAATTGGTAATTGACGGTATTGTAAGAGCCTTCACAATTTTTCCCGAAATTAATATTAAATAAAGTATTGATTGCTTAATACCAATGATGTCCAATTGTGAGCTTTACTGGTGATGAAGATCTCCGGGTTTCTCTCGAACAGAGCTGTGATCCGGAGAGAGTCCTTCTCCCCGGCTGGTTATCACGTGGACAAGCGGCTGCGTTGGGTACACGTGCACGTGTACCGCTAACACTTTTATAATAGCACTTTGTATTATAGTTAAACGTGGTGTTTGTTAATAAACAACTCACACAAATAATCATGTAAGGAGTATATATATATTTAATGCACATCTGTCTATACAACACAATAATCTATGATAGAAATAATCGACTCGGTAACGACACGACTCTCAGGCAACACGTCTATCCCGCGCGACCGATCCTGAGGAGAGTGTCCTCGCCTCGTTTTGCCGGGATAACCGGCGCGCACGGCACGCATGATTTTACGCTGATTGGCCGAAAATCGGCTGCTCGCTAGAGCGCGCGGCTAATAACTTATATCACCCGACGGGTGGTGCCCTCGCGCTGCCGATATCTTACAGTATATTATTCGTTATATGCTGTTCACTTGTTCTTTGTTGAAGATTTTTAGTTGACTCATTTCGTATGTCATTTATTTGGAGTTTTAATTCGCGGACTGTGTCAGTAACTTCAATTAATTTGTCCATGACAATGTTTATGTGTAACATTCCGTCTTTTATTGGACTTTGAGCGCGCGACATTGGAGCGGTAACGAAAATTTTCGATTCCAGTATATTGCNTATTGAGCTTGAGTCAGTCGAATCAGTTGAGGTGATTTGGCTTACCGCTCTGTATGTAGTCCATGCCAGTGTTTTCAGGTTCGGTAGTCAGGATAGTTTGTCCAATCAACTAGGAAAACTAGTAAATTTCTTGGAATTCGAACTTCACTGTTTGCACTTATCCCGCACAGCTGCCACCAATATAAGATTTGCGATCGTAAT